GTTTGACCTCTGTCATTACCAACAAAGGATATACAACAAAGTATTGAGATGAACTTTTATTGACCAAATACATATTTTCCACCATTATTTGCAAAAAAATTCTTTAAAAGTCAGACAAAATGATTTTTTCAAAATTTTTTTCACATTTTGTCTCTCATAGTTGAGGTCTACCTATGATGTCAATTACAGGCCTCTCTCATCTTTTTAAGTGGGAGAACTTGCACAATTGGTGACTGACTAAATACTTATTTTCCCCACTGTATATCGTATCGTGACCCCTCTGTCATGATATGTATCGTATCGCCAAATTCTTGCYAATACACAGCCCTAGTCACAATGTATTTTAGTAAACAAATATTTAAACTACACATTATTTAATCTGATCATTTTTAATATTCTGACAGAAAAACGTTTGTAAAAAAAAGAAAGACAGGAAGTGGAACAAATCAGATCATTTTATAACTAATGAGGTTAATTATCAACAGGTCAGTCTGAGGAAAAACTGTCCACCAGTGGGACATTTTCGAAATAMAAGTCCTCAATGAACGGTTTTGAATCATAGGGTATAATAACCTGTGTTAATCTCTGAGCTCAAAGCCTAAAGGTCAATATTAGATGGGGTTCTGGTTCTGGTCTGGACATCACTGCATGGACTCAGGAACACTTCCAATGGTCTTTAATAGCTCTTAAGTTTTACTTACTGAAACCTGCACTATCCCTGAAAAAAGCTGCTGAAATTCAGATTAATGCACTTTTCTGTTTCCTTCAGCAGCGTCTCACGTCCGGCTCAGAAGTTAATTTCGGAGCTGATCTGTGAAGCTCACGTGTCACTGCAGAGGTGCAGTTTGGATCACGGCTCGTCTGTCAGAGCGACACAAAGCAACACTAAGACCACAACAAACCTTCACGCCGCTCACACGGACAGCTCCTCCGCTCCGGCCAGGAAGAGACAAACTGTAGAAACGTCRAGGACATCAAAGTCCGATGGCCACCCTTCTGATTCTGGATCATCTCCCGTCAGGAGGAAGTGTTCCGGCGAGGCGGTGGAGCGGCCGCCTCCTCCAGAGACCACGAATCAGCAGAAACGTCCGGCTCGCCTGCCTCTGCCGGCGCTCGCTCTGTTTTTAAAACAGCATTCATCCAAACATAAAAAGAGCGAGGGCAAATTGAACTCCCCTCCTCAAGCCCTGCCTCCCGAGTCCAAGGTTCCTGCTGCACCTGACCCAGACCCGATGCTTTCAAGTGTCCTAGAACAAACTGCCCCACAGACCTCGAGTCCGCTGAACCCCGCGGCTTCGGAGCCTGAAAGTCTGAGCTCAGAACTGGAGGTGTTTCAGGACAGAGCAGAGGGTCCATTCTGTTCTCTCACATGTTCTACCTCAGCAGAACCTGCTCGTCTGTCCCCGCCTCTCACCGCAGTATTATCCACCCCGAAGACACCCGAGGATGCCCCAGCCGGGACAGACCCAGTAAAGACCAACTCTTTGCTCTTTGACCCAGCTTGTTCTTCTTTCTGCTTTGAGCCGTTGTCTCCTGCAAGTTCTCCAGAACCGCTGCCTCCACTCCCAGAATCCTTATCTTTAGAAATAGACTCCACCCCCTCTGCAGCAGCGGGCGCAGCAGAGCCTGCTCCAGCTCCAGACCGGGGCAAACCCTCTTCGGTGTTTAAGTGGCACACAGTATTACCTCCAGCCGACACGTATGTAGACTCCTTCACCACATTTCAGCCGCCGCAGCAAGACCCGCCTTTCAAGTCCATGACTCCGCCCCCGCTGCCTTGTCTCAACACGTCCACTGACGAGTCCACCGTGTCCTTTCAAGATCCCGAGCTACCGCTGCCTTTCCCCGTGGAGCTATCCCCCCTCACCCTGCAGCTGTCCCTGTCCCCCACCTTCTCCTCCCTGGACGAGAATGGGCTGTCCCCGGCCCCGTCCCTCTCGGACCTCGTGCACTTTTTCTCCACTAACGTGGACATCGGGATCGGCGGGGGBTTTTCAGATGCAGAGACGACGCCCACTCCCTGCCCGCCTCTGCCCGCGGCCGAAGCGCCGGCGCCTCCCCCGCAGGCGCAGCCGACCCCGAATCCCCGCAGACCCAGCAGGAGGAAGAAGTCCAAGTCCAGAAAGCTGGCCAGGCTGGACGTGAACCAGAACATGGACGACTACAGGAGCCTGCAGCCCAACCTGGAGGAGGTGGAGGAGCAGCTCTTTGTTTCCTTTGCTTCGAAGGTAAACCTGATCAGGGTTAGACTCAGATCCTCAGGATCAGTTCTGTAAACTAGGGATGCACAATAACTGATTTTAATAACCGATAACATGCCAGGAGGTAAGACTAGTCAAAAATGAGTAAGATCATAACATAAACAAGACAAAAACGAAATGACACTGTATGTAATGTATGTAATGACACTATTTGAAATAAACTCATAGCAAGCAAACATTTCTTAAAATATATCAAACAAAACAATTTCTCAAATGGCCATCTTTTTAAATAAGGCACATTAATTATAGAAAAGACCTTTAACACTGATCTCAGATTTAAACAAACAAGAAAAATTCATTCCATGAGTTCAAAACAGATAATTCACTAACACAAGGTTAGATTCATGAAAGGCGCTTTTATAAACATTATTATTTAAAACATTTTTCTGCCTGAAAAAGTGCTCCTGAGAGTGTGAATGCATTATGACTGCATCATACTTATAGGTATACATACACAGGTAGCGGCTGCTCAGCATGGTAAACCGTGCCTAACGATGGTAAACCGTGGCTAACAATGGTAAACTGTGGCTAATGATGGTAAACCCTGGCTAACGGTGGCGAACCGTGGCTAACGGTGGCGAACCGTGGCTAACGATGGTAAACCCTGGCTAACGGTGGYGAACCGTGGCTAACGGTGGCGAACCGTGGCTAACGATGGTAAACCCTGGCTAACGGTGGTGAACCGTGGCCAACAAGGAGTTAAAAGCTTCAGTCTTTAGCGAGGGTGAACGGCTGCTTGTCATAATTTCCATCGTTAAATTCTTGAGATCTGCGTCCTCTCTGGCAATTATTTTTGATTTGTCTAAAGCCTCAGCAATGATTTAAGTCCCGATGAGTTCTTGAACGCTAGCTTGTTGCTGTTAGCATTTTAGCAGCACAGACTTTGTGCTGCATTCAGGAGATAACGAACTTTACATGTTCTCAAATTGGGACTAGTTGTTCCGACCTTTTTATGTTTATAAATTATAAAGTTTGTGTGTAACATACAGGGTTAATTGGTAAAATAATATTAATAATTCCTAAAATGACTGGTTGTTTTTCAGCACAGAGTATTCTAATTATTGTTCTAGTGAGAAAGTTGTTTTTTCCGACGCCACTTAAACGTTGCTCGAGTCGTACCGGATGGGAAGCGGCTTGACCAAAAAGGATAAAAATAACACACATTCTCATCGCCGCGCTGACGAACATGAACATATATTATCTGTTCTGTTTGTTATGATATTGGGCCGATCACTATCGGGCACCCCTACTGTAAACAGCAGGTCAACTCTGGAGTTACCGTAGTTTCCTTCATGTTTCTACATAACTGTAACATTCATTCATTTAACTCAGAGCAGAGTTTAAATCTAAATAATGTCTCAGGAGGCCCTGAAGCTCCACGTGGCTGAGCCCAGCGAAGAGACGGCCCCTCCACCTGAGCCGGTGCCTCCGGGACCGCAGACCACCTCAGAACCTCAGATCCACGGTATCATCTTGAGTTCTGAAACATCTTCTGTTGAAATGTTTGATTAGAGAAAAGATCTGTTTGGTTTTAGTGATGTTGACTGAAATGTGTGGTTTCAGACGGACTCAGCTCAGAGAGCCAGGAGGACCAGATCTCCTCCTTCCAGAAGGTTCTTCTGAAAGACCTGGAGGTGATGAAGTACAGACAGGTGATCCACCCAGTGCTGCAGGAAGGTAGGCGTCGTCCGCTCTCACCGCCTCTTTTAKCACGGCTTCATTTAACTTCCTGTTTCTGCTGTCTTGATGAGCTCAGTGGGTCTGAAGATGTCTCTGCTGGATCCGGCTCTGCCCATCGACCTGAAGTATCTGGGGGTCCGGCTTCCCATCCCACCTCCTGGAGTCATTTCTGTGATGCAGACTCCAGCTCTGTCGCCGTCTGAGGGTGAGGATGTTCATGAGAGACACATCATCAGATCAAAGCTTCACCTTTAATCTGACTGATTTTAATCAAACCACAGAAAATTAAACTTTTTAAAATGAAGAATCAAAGTTTCATGACGTCATTCTGTTGATTGTTTGTCTCCAGGTTCTGCTGCCTTTCTGTCCAGAACTGGAAAAACTACAGACGTGACTCAGATTAAAGGCTGGAGAGAAAAATTCACTGCGTCCGAAACAACGTCTGACTCTGTGTCCAAACCTGAAGGTATGACCTGTCCCCATCAGTCTGTCCTCATCAGTCTGTCCTCATCAGTCTGTCCTCATCAGTCTGTCCCCATCAGTCTGTCCTCATCAATCTGTCCCCATCAACCTGTCCCCATCAGTCTGTCCTCATCAACCTGTCC